TCAACAAATTGATGTTATGAGTAAACTGATGAGCTTCCATTAATGAAGAATTAAGCTTTTGTACTCGTGACACAAGATTCAACCCTTCAAGGCTCAAGTTGCATGCTTAGGCTTTATATATTTAATAAAGAGTTTATCCTTTCATGGAGAAAATGGGTCTATTAGATTTTTGGCCATACTTTTCTTTTTCTTTTGACAGTCAATAAGATGGGGCGTGTGTAATACAAAAGATAGGTTACTTGGATTGCGTTCCCAAATTGCAACATTTCTTAGATAATTTACTTGTTTCATCATTGGGGTTTCTCTTTAGACCGATTTGAGAAATAAATATGTAATCTTAGGCTCATTTTATTAGGATAAAAAAAACTTTAGGCTTGATCTTTAGACAGATTATTATTAGGATCTCTCTTTTGACCAACCACAAACAATTAAAAAAATATCAATGCTTAATCCACAGTCCACTTTATCACAATAAAAAAATTCATAATGAAAAATTTTATAAAAAACCTTTGAATTTCGACCTTTTTTTTTATTAATCGATGATATATCTATATATGTACTTATATTAGTAAAAATTACCATCTGTGATTGAATTGATTTTAAACTCAAATAATTAATAAATAGAGTAATAAAACTAGTGTGATCGTCTTAAAATAAATTAAAGTTGTTAAAGCCTAATAACCTTTAATCTCTAGGAGCTTCCATTGCTTTGGTACATTCCTCACAAAAAATAAAACATTGATCTGAAGGCAGGTAGCCCACAACCATTAAGTTGTATGGAAAAAGATTACTATCAAATCATGTTGAGTTGCTTTGATGGAGAGTCCAATAAAAGCAATATACCCATAGCATTTTCATAAAATGCTTGATTAGGAATTTAGAATGGGCCTCCGCTGCAATCTCAAAGATGAGATCACATAGATTGTGTTCGCCACAATTCTATTCATAAATAATTTGATTATCTAATAAAATTTCATTATCATCATTGCCTTTTGGGACCGCCTCTGTTTTGTTTTTAATTCATTCATTTCCTCATTTTGGAATTGAAATCAGAATGCGTTTAATTTTTTTAAAAATAAATTATTAACAAATTACTGCCATTGAGAAACCAAGATGTCGGCTTATTAGTCTTGTTTTTTAGTAATAATATTAAAATAAAAATGTTGTATTTCTTGAAAAATCTAGTCGAATATCGGGCAAAACAATTAAATAAAGACAGTAACATTAAAATAGTAGGAACTGAGAAGTTAACTACGAAAAACGATAAAAAGGGTTAATACGTGGAGACTTCAAAACAGTAAGATACAAGTAGAACAGATTACCTTGGTTTCTACAAAATTTTCTGACCTATATTTAGTATCCTATCCCTGCATCACTAATCAAAACCTAGGCTTCCTGCTACGGAGAATCACGTCCCACATGGGATCCCATTTTGACTCCCTAAAAAATTGACTTATTCTATGATTTTATTTCTTGCACCCAAAAAGGACAAAAAGAGAAAATTATTATTTTATAAATAAATTTAAGATTATTTTTATTATTATTTGATAGAATTTTTAGTAAAATTCTCTAAGTTATTTGAGTCCAATTAACGAGGTTAAATGGAGAATATTATTTTTAGCTCTAATTATCGGGTAAAGAATTTTAGCGGTGATTTACTGTCCGAGTTTCGAGGTTAAAAAAATGGAAGACATTTAAATAACGTTCGTTCGTAGCCGTTTCGGGTTTTAATAAAGAGAAACGTTGGACGGAGGTGACGGCGTTAAAGGGTGAGCACGTGGGTGCTGCGCTTAAAATTGACTGTTAAAACACTGTCAACTGTCAAATCAACTGGGAAGGTACCACCCATGGCTGCAGTGTTGGACGTGTGGTAGCATCAATGTGTTTGTTTTCTTATTTTAAAAAAAATTCAGGGAAATGATGAAAAATCCTCCCTCCCTTCCACCTTATCATGTCTTACAAAAACCATTTAATCAAGATTAATGTTGATATATACTTAAAATTTTTAAATACAAACACTCAGCATTTCTCAAACCATATACTATCAAAATTAAATGACATATAATTTTTTTTATTTGAAGACAGATTAAACAGCTTATAATTTCTTATTCAACAAACCCAAAATTAAATTTATATTTTTAAATAAAAGGATACGTGCATTAAATAACTATTAATATATAAACATGAACTTTTAAATTACAAACATGGATTCGTGACAGGTATTCTGACTTTAATTAAATATTTGGGTGAAAAGAGCTTACACAAGTTGAGCAAATCTTTTAAATACTTTTTTTATTTTTTTAATTTATGAAGGTTCATTTATCGTAAGTCAATGTGATTAGGTAATTCCTTTTATCAAAGCTCCAATGGACACCTTAAAATTGAATTCCAAACTACTTTATGAGTCTAAATTCAAATTTTATGTTTATGTTTTTAAAACATAAAATATCTCACCAACTATATTTAATTTTGAATGAAATGGTTGTTGTTTCCAAGTTTCCTTCTCTAATTTCTCTCACATTTCATAATTTTCGGTATAGTTTTCCTTTGCAAAATTCAAAGTTATGGTTATGACATTTATTTATACCCATAACTCCATAAAGTATTTAAACAACAGCATTTACTATTTCAGCTAATATTGAATGGAATGAGTACAATCGTGAGCTCACATTCCCTCTAATTTGCCTCTCCTTTCACCAAATGTTAAGTAATTTTCTTTTCAAATTCAAATTTAGAACTTCTAAATTGAATTTCAAAATTTCCTAAGCATTGATTTCATGTATATCACATATTAACAACTATAATTTTACCAACTACACTAAGTTTACTAACAACATAATTTTCCATGGAATGATGGTACTTTTACTAACCAAAGAGCCATTCTTTGCCGCTACAACGGCAATAATTGTAGTAAGTATTCCCTTTTTATATTTGAATATTGTTTTTGTTTTCCACTTGCATATTGGTAACTAAAGCTTCACTTTTTGCAGCACACTTCAATCATTCCATGATATTCTTCGTTGACGAGGATACCTTACCAACACCATACATGCATGCATACAAAACAAGATTTGATGAGAAAATTTTGATATTTTGTAAAATTGAAAAAATAATTAAAATTCTTCATTTACTTAATATATATATAAATAGTATGTGTACACTCATGTTTAATCATATACGACTGTGTATATATATAAAAGAGAACAATGAATAATAATGATTTTACAGGTGGTTGTTACAGAGTATTTTCAAATAATTTGAAAAGTACAAATGAGCTCGTGTGCAAATAATTTATTTCTGTAGACTCTTTTTTTTTTATTCTTTTCAAGAAAAGTGAACAACAAAAAATTGAAAAGAATGACAGTAACCCTTTTCTGTTGATAGAATATCAAATCTGTTACCTTTATTTTCAAAGATTTTTCCAGTGATATTAAAACCCAAACTTTTATATTTTGTTGTATCAAAATTCGAGTACAGGTCAAGTCAATTCAATATGAGATATTATCTGACAGTTTTCTGTGTTGTTAAAAGATCCATGTCATTCTCACGATACAAAATTGTCCAAATTCAATTGATGATATAACAAAATCCAGCTATACAGACCTTCAAACCCCAAAAAATGATGCTGTCACCCTAAATTTATGATGAATGGTGTTTGATATACAATGGGTTTCCATCAAGACGTACATATGTCAGACCACAATTCAGATAGATATTGAAAATTTTGTAAATATGAAATATAGAAAATAAATAAAAAAAATAGGAAAAAAAATTGAGTACTTAAATTACTCCCCCATTTATATTAGTGGTCCACTATTTAGGTATAGTTGTTGGCGGTGTAAAGCTAGCTGTAGAAGGTGATATCATTTGATTAAAGATTTTATAAGAGTTTTGAAAAGAGAAAAAGGAAAAAGTACTAGTGCATTCCATTTTTATTAAGAAGAAAGAAAATAAAAAGTCTATTCCTTTTTATAGCACTTTGATGGAGGTGGCAACCGTGACATTGGAAAATTGCAAAAGGAAATATGTGGTGGTGAATCGACTTCTGTCACAGTCGGCAATGAGAAAGATGATGCGATGCAAGGATTTGATGAAAGCTTTGTATTGACTTTCCATCACAATACGTTGGATAAGAATCAAGCAAAATGAAATGTGCATATCGTTTTTGAGATTTGCCGAAGGCTCAGCTCCCGAAGCCTAATACGTGTTGCTCCAGATTCATAGCATTCCAGCACTTTTTTTTTTAATTTAGTTTTCATAATTAAAATGTCCTTTTTTACTATCTTTTTTTCATATAATATTATTTAATATTATATAGAGTGCTACAAGGTATTCCTTAGCTACTTTTTACTATCCTTTTCATCAAAATTGAGCACATTATTCTCTTTACTCATTAATTTGCCAACCTAATTTTTAACTTTTAAAAAAAAAAAAATCAAAAGATTACCGTTGCTTTGAATTTACCTTTTTTTTTCCGTCCCCGTCCCATTATGACAACAATTTCTCTTTACTTACAATGGAATTATTACAAACCTAACATTGATATTCCATTACTAGCTTAGGATTTAAAGCCACGTAATTGCTTTTATGCAAAATAATAATCATTCAATCAACTAGAGTATTAAATGCTGTCTGATTTTGATTATTAATTCATCAAATATGTAATAATAATAATAATAATAAATCCCTTTCACTAAAAAATCTTAAGTTGCACTGGCTAGCGGGCAAAGAGGAGCATCCTATTGAGTCTAATTCTAAACACTTTGGATCTCATGGGATTGGGGATACGTTGTTGTCTCCCTCTTTAATCCTTTACAACAGTAGACGACAGTTGTTTTTCTGGATCCCTAGGGATTGTTGTCCCGAAAACAAAAAAAAAAAAGAAGAAAAAAGATA